CCTCTTGTGCATTTAAATCAGCTAAGCTATACCTACATGGAAGATAAAACAGATATAACGAACAGCATAGCTTGACTCACTATTGATGAAAAGCTCTTCCTGCATTGCTTGTCTGGCAGCATCCGAAAAACAGCGTTTCTTCAGCCACTCTGCGTCAAACACACTGGCGTGCTGGTCGGGCCACACAATGGACACCTGTAGAGACACAGTATGCTTTTTCATCCCAACTGGACAAAAACATTTGAGCCCTTTTTCCATGTTTCCACTTCATAATACGTTTGTTTTCATAAGACATGAAAGTGCACCTTTCTAAGTAAAGAGTAAGTGAAAACCTTTTTATTAAATGACACACTGTTGTCAAAATATTAGTGGGAATTACTGGGTCAGATCCTTTGGTCCACAAAAACGAAAATAAATGCCCTAAAAGCATATATGTTTTATATATATAAAAATTCATATATATCTGGTCAAAATAGGATTTCCTATGCTAACCTATTTGCTTTTTTATACTTGCGTAATACTTTATTTTGGCCAATACAGCCATCAAATCCTTTATTTAGCCAAAAGCAAGCTTGAACCCATTGCTGTAATGAAATACATTTACTTATATAGATTATCCGGTACATTTTTCTATGCTGGAGACAATACAAGAAATGCATTGCTTTAAATCTTTATCAAAAGAAGCAAATGACACACAGTAGCTTGGCAGCACTATCATGTCAAAGCAATCCTTTTATAGCTGTGTCCCACTTCAGGGGCCCTCTGAAGGACGCAGCTCACAAAGGTGGCTCCTTTGGAGGACTTAAAGGTCAGATTCAATGTGTGCTACTGCCAAAATAACACCGCCTAACCTCACAGAACCTCAATTTATCCCCAGACAGTTGCCCTCAAACAGTCAACAAAAGCCTAAATGCCAAACATTAACTTGAACAGGTTTCATGATACAATCACTGTGAAAAGAATACAAAGATAGTAATAAGAATAGTATCATGGAAGTATTATATCATATTATATCAAAACCCCAGTGAAAAAAGCTGCAGGGTCACACATTTAACAAGTTGCAACAGTCAAATGTTTGGCATTTTTGCTAAGATATATGCGCTGTCCATCGACTAATCAACATAACCGATTGTTTCAACTCTAATGTCATGTTATTAAATCTGACAGTAGTAAGACCAACCTTATTTTAGTCGCAGTCTAAAATAACATTTGTGTAGTGGAATTGCATGAGCTTTCATGCTCAAAGTTTGGAGAACAGTTTTAATTTCATTCTTTAACTAAAGGATTTAAGGATGTATGTCTTGCTGTGGGTGGACACAGTGAGAAGCCCCTCTGCCGATAATGGCTTTGAAATCTTACCTGGTGTTGCTTTAAAAGCTCCAAAAATAAAATCCTATTTCTTTATCAGTCATGACATAATAGTACACACCAACTTTATCTCTTACATGTGAGCATGCAACAGCATTATTAAATGTTCAAGCAAGCAAAATGTCCATTTCCCCCATCCATTTGAATGGTATTGTAAGATAGTGTTGCAAATGTTAAACCAGGATGTGGGCTCTTTAAATGTGTGGAAAAAGTGGAAATGTACACAGCCAGTATGGTTAATAATTAAAACATTCACCTTTGGCAGCAACCTACCTTGTTGTCATTAGTGACCTCCACAATGTCCACTCCAGTGTTGATATCTAGACCAGACATCAACAGTTTGCGGGCCTGCGCAGACTCCAGGGTACACAGTGGACACTGGCAGTTGTCTCTCAGCCAGGTGAACGGGTACAGACTGTGGCCTCCGTCTTCCCACTCCACCTCCATTATCCTTTCCTCATCTAGAGCCCGGACTTGTCTCACTGAGTGGTGAGCCAGAGGAAGGGCGGCAGACCCAAGAGTGTGCTGCCCACGAAGCTGCATCAAAGTCAGACAATAGGGAAGTGGACCTGCAGGCCTCCTCGGTCTACCACCAGCCCTCAGAGCCTGGCAGGCCATGGCAGAGGTTCCTCTCTGCAGGGCAGGTCGGGCCACACGTGCTAATGTACTCATCCACATTTCTGAATGGTTCCCTTGGGGCAATTCTGTCCACAGCTCAGAAAGGGCGATCACCTCTCTGAAGGTAATGAGAAACGGAAGTAATAAAATACTGTGTATCATGGAACAAACATTAGGAGTCTCATACTAAAGCTAAATGTACTTGTGTTTTCTCTGAATGTCTTATAATAAAAGGAAAATATTAGCCAAAAAAAAGAATACACATTTAGAAAGCATTTAAGATGTATACTTTAATTTTAAATAATGTTGTGAAAGACCCCATTTAAAAAGCGAAATGATGGTCGTAGTGTGTTTTTCATCAATGCCAATATCCTCAGATACAGTTCAAAATGTAAACTTGTTTTAAGTTGACCACATTTTTCTAGACTCTGTCTGCTTACTCAGTGTGTTGATAAAAAACAGTATGTAACAGTGTCATAGTGCTTCATAGTGCAACACAGAAGCATTATTTAAAGAAAAATAATACAAAGTGTGTGTGCTGTTATCATGGCTGTTATCCATAATCCTGCACCTGTTGCTAACCCTATGTTATTTTTCCAGAAACTCCCAGAAAGTATAGCTCTCTTGTTATTCTCCTGTTAGCGTGACAGTGTTTGTATCGTTTTTTAAGGAAGAAGCTTTTGTTTAGCCTTTTAAATCCAATAAATCTATCTTGCTCTTTGTTTGAGTGGGGACGCTTCCTCTGACCTATCTCTTTAAAACTGCTTAATTCTGCAGTTCTTGAAGCTGTGACATCACTACCAGCGGGTGCTTTGAGTTTGATGATTAGCACAAACAACAAAGATAAAAAACATAAAGATTAACATAACTTCAATATTCCAACAACAAGGGTGTAGCCTCGGTTAAGTGTCCATTAAGGCGTGTAGTCAAGTCCTAACAAGCATAAGAAAAAGCTAACCTGGTTGTTAGCTAGCTGGTGAATTAAAAGCACCCCCTGGGTCTTCCTGTATACAGTACATCTTCTACAGTATTAACACAGCTTCTCTCACATCCGGGTACATTAGCTGTTAGCTTTAACGTGTATGTATTAAAGTGCTACGAAAAAACAATAAACGCGAGTGTTTGTCACTAACAAAGCTTATGTAGGCCTACCTGTAATGTTTTGACGACGGGTTCCTCTTCCCCACGAGATTCTCCTCCGTCAACACAAAGTCGGCCGGCTGTCAGAGAGAGAGAGAGAGAGAGCGCGAGAGAGAGAGAGAGAGAGGGAAAGTGGGTGAAAGTTCGACCGGGATGCTGCACTGTACACGGTGACATAATCATCGCCGCTCCACAACACTCCCCACTGATAATGTAGTCCCGGGAAAACACTTTTGTGTTTAAATAAACAAAAGGGGAAAACATAATCTCTGTTTGCAGATAGGAAATATATCAGAACAACCTGTTGTGTCGATTGGGTCAAAGTAGGTTACATTTTGACACAACACTGCAAAATGTCATGACTGGATATTTAAATCTGAACCAGTACACTGGTGGACACTCATATTATCACCAAAGTCAGTAGAGTTAATTGTCGAGCATAACATTCAATAAAACATGTATGGCAGTTTCTTCCATAGCATTTTTAAGTCTGAACAAAAGTTATGGACTAATAAGTTGGGCTCATCTAAATGGTATTTGGCATTTTTCATTATTTTCTGCCAATGATTACTAATCAAGAAACTAATTGACGCATTAATCAATAATAGAGAACATTTAGGTAATGATTTGTTTCCTTCTTTGTGTTCAGTCATACCTCTTTTAATTAAGTACTTTTTACGTCCTTGACTGGTTCCAGGAAGACGACCAGTACCCAATGGATGTGAACAACCTTCTTCTATCCAAGTCACAAGTTCACCCAATTTATAACATGGCAGGCCTGAGTTTCAAAGGGTAGGTGATGTTGACACCTTTGCAACATCAACAGTGACACTAACAGACTTTGAATTGATCTATTGAGTGGAATGCACCGGAGTATACCTACAGAGCATTATAAAAGGAATTCTAACCTATAAATATCTTTAAAGATCCCTTAAAAATATAAAAAATGTAATCCTTTTTCCGGGGAGAATGTTTTTGTTGATGTCAGCATGCAATAACTGAATTTATTTTTTAAATATTGAACACTGAGATTGATACCAACAAGTTCAATGCAATCTAAAGTACAACGTTGAACAACTTTTTTGATAGTTTTGGATGATTGCTAAAGCAGAGGTCTTATTATAGCTTGATTGTTTGTTATCAATGTTTTATAAATCTTATCCTTTAGAAGGTGATGCCAGTCATTCAGTAATGTATTTCCCCTCTCAAGGACATAACAATGTAGGTGAAAGGTTTCTATAAAAACGGTATTTTACGTGTCCTTTATGTTGCCACTGTTATCAGTAGGCTCAAAGTATCTGTTGACAGTGACTAACTACAAGTGAAACTGTCATACTGTACTTTGCTTTGTTACATCGTTTGCACCAGTTGGCACTTTTCCCATATGTTATAAAGTTCAGGATACTCATAGTATTTTAGTTCAAACTTAACTCAACAGTCTGAAGTATCACAATAACATGTTGTTCTCAGCAGAATGGTAACAAGTACAGGAAATAAAACAGGTTGTTTGTAAGGTCAGCCGCACCACAAATGCCGTCAACACAACTTCCTTGCATCTCTGTTCCTCATAAATACCAACATCCAGCTTCTTCCTCTCTTCAAAGCACTCATATAGGGCTGTGTGTATAATTTACAGCAGACCACAAAACCTTGTAAAGCAAACACGGAGGGGATTTTTGTAATTATGGAGCACGTAGCAATGCAGTCCCAGTGATTAAGGAGCTACTGCCACATTGAAGGGGTGTACAATACGGACATCGATAGGGAAGCTTAGCTACATAAGAAATGTTTTAACCTAACTTTGACGTCATTAGAGAAGAGACCAATAATGCTTGAAAGGGTGATACTCCCATAAAAACATGCTCTTGCAACACTTTCAACACCAACTCTTTATTTATGAAGACACAACACAATCCATTCAAAAATAATGTCACAATGATTGTTGTTAACATTGAATTCCACAAGTGCTGCCTGCAGTCTTATCCGTCATTTATTATGCTCTCACTACCTTAAAATATATAGATATATGCAGCTCAATTTGAAACTTTGTATACAAAAGGAATACACAATAAGGTGTTTTGTAACAAAAAGATAGCACTCACAGCATTTACTTACTGTACTTAATATCACACTGTACATTTTCCAGGATTATACAGCCTTCGCCGAACAGCACAGTAAATGCATTTTAAACCATGACACAACCTTAAGCACCGGAACAGTTAAAGAATTGTGCAAAGTTTACAAGCCCAAAAAGCAAAACTTAGTTTTCCATATGTAAACATTATTCAATATTCATAATCTGGAGTGTCAAAAAAGAGCAACAACAATGACTGCTCAAGTTAGGAGCATTCAAACAGCCTACTACATCATGCCCTCCACCCCCCTCGCTTTACAGCTATGTCCATGAGTTATCCAAAACCAATATATCTTTAGTGAATGTTTTGTAAATGTGGATACTTACAAATGAGTTGTCCAACATTTGACTTAATCCTCAAAGGAATCTCTCCAAAATCCACATTCACACACGTCTTTTTTGGTCACAGAGGACTGAATAAGTCTTGGAATACTCTACCTACAGTACTAGTGTTTGGAAAGTTGATGGTTCCCATTTTCACTTTTTTTGATTGGCTGATTAGTGTTTGAAGCTGTTGTTTTACCCTTACACCCAAGCTTACAAACAAATGCACAAACCTGTGACAGTTTACAGATGAATGCATCTACTTAAACATACTACCAAGAAAAGAGGCGGACAGATAATGTTTGACTAACCCTAAGGCCATATATAATTATTGAACATTATTACTGTTTAACTATTGTTTGTGTTATAATGGTATGTAATGACCATTGCAATAGTCTATGGGAGTCAGCACTATGACGATTTACACGGACAGATGATATTTATTATATCAAAATATAATTTGTATACCTTAGTAGCTCTTTATTACTTTGTGGTGGAATGAAAATCACACAATGATGAACTTCGATTGGTAAGGAACTAAGTTTGTATAGTAAGCCAAAACCAGTCAATATTCTGCTCATTAAATCTATGTATACTTTTGAAATTGTTTTTTTCTCGAACATTTATCGCAATATTGTTATATAAAATGCATTGTACTGTTATCGAATAACTTATCAATATAGCCAACTCCTTATTCCTTTATAAAGGTAAGATTGTTCACATGAGATGCAGCCCTGCAGAGATGTTATGTTCAAACAACGCATTTTCTCACTTAAGACTAGCAGTTGGAGATGTTTTTGGTTTTAAATGCCTTTTTATATATATATATACGTAGACCTATCCCAGATTTTTGCAATGAATGGATTGGAAAACTGTTTCTCCCACAATGTGACATATTTATTTTTTGAAGAACAACTTCATTTAAGAATATGCACCACATGAGCACAATATAAGCTAAAAAAAAGAACGTATACTAAACACATTTATACACTAACAAAACAGGTCCATGAGTTTGGGTCATATTGTATTGATATATTGTTATTTAGTATCATACATTTGGAACATAATCATAATACAACACATTTGTAAATGAGGTCTTTCCGGGTTAGGGATTTTAGCGCTGTTGGCTTCATTGGGCAATCCAGTTTAGACAAATATCACCTGGACTATCATCTGCATGGTTATATAGCCTACCTTCCGAACTGTGGATCCCAACTTGTTTTTGTTTCAGAACCTTTAAAGAGAAGCAGTGTATCTGCAACATCTCATCACAGGTAAGAGTTATGAACAGTGAACTACTCGCCTCCTAATTGATCGTCAAAAGTGATCAGATAGTTTGATTTGAATATTTTTCAACAAAAAAGGAAGAATATTTTAAATATAACATCATTTGTTTTTCTTATTTCCTAATTATCATATTGTGACCTTTGACATGTAGAACCATCTTTGAACACATTAAAGGAAAGCCAACCAGGGAACCACTGCTCTAGAATTAGATGAGATAATAAGTATTATTTTCGTAAATTACGTGAACTGGCCCTTTAAACTTTGTTTCATCCCTGATATGATTGCTCATTGTTTCACCCAGTCTCATGGTCTCAAACTGCATCATATAAGTACTGTAATGAGACCTGTAGGAACTACTTTCCCTCAGAACTTCATGTATTCGTTCTTCAGTCTGCTCAGCCTCGTGCCGTGGCTGCGGATGATCAGAGACAGGAGCTCGTGCTTGTCCTTTAGTCCCTGAGAAATGTCCAGCGTGCCCTTCAGGACGTCCCGTGTGTGCACTACCATGTTCAGAAAGTCGTCGTTGAGCCTGTGCTCCTCCTTTGACTCACTCTCTTGGCTCTGCTTGAATTTCACCTCGAGCTCCAGTAGAGATTTCTCCGAGTTTGTGAAAGCCTCGCTTATCTGAGTCGTCTCCCTCCGCAAGTACTTCCCGTAGCTGTCCTCTCCGTCCAGGTCGTACGAGATGCTTTTCCCGATCCCCTCCAGCACCCGGGCCGAGTCCTCAATCTGCCTCTTGATGATGGTGAAATCATCCCGTATGACAGAGTCCTGGTCCTCATCGAGACTGCACTTTCGCTCGTCGGTCATCTTGAAAAGCATTTGACATTTCTCCGGGTCGTCGTTGTCCTCGTAGTCTCCGTCCGGCACGAAATAGTGATGAAAAGTCCCGTTAGACATCTCCGGCTGCAGCGGTCCGGTGAAAAAGGCTCGACACATCGAAAACATCCCGACACACAGGAGCAAGTGAAGGAAAGCCATGATGCCCACTCGTATTATAGGTATTAATCGTTATTTCAGCGACAGTGTCAGCCTAATGGGCTATTTAACTCCAACCCGGTGTAGAAACGCAAACATTTCATTCAGATTTAAACGTCCAAACTGCGCAGTTAAATTGAGGCTTTGTTGTAGTTTTCACGTCCTCCTCAATATCCTCTTTGTCCAGACTCCAAACAGATGAAAGTGGCGTAAAAATGTGTTAAAAAGCCTCACTTCTCTGATTTTACTCGAGCCAGCCAGCTTCCATCTTTGCCAATGAGCAGGAAAAGCAATGTATGCAAATTGTTTCAGCGTGGAAACAGTTGTAGCCTGCTCCCGACTTCACTGGGTGCCTCAAACGCAACATCTGGATGTCTCAAGTGCCGCGCTTGGGTTTTGGCCATGGGGTTTTGGCTAATAATACCCCTCTGCTCCTCTCAAATTACAGGCTCTCCGTCACTTTAAAAGGCTGCATTGAGTCTGGAGCAAAAAGCCTCACAGAAACCAGTGTTAATTCAAAAATACAAGTTGGCATGGATGGTTAGAAAGGTTACTTAGAGAGAAGTCTTTTAGAAATAAACAAAAGGCCATTTATATAACATTTCCACTCAATCCAACACAACTGTCCTGTAAGAATAATCCATTACTTTTACAAAACTTAAACATTTTAAATGTGTTTTTTGTAATTCCGATCCTCACATAATATTGTACAATTAACAGATATTTGCAAAAACACAATAGCTGAAAAGGACAGAACATTTATTCTAAAAAATGAAAACTAAATTAATGAGCAAACAAACAAAGAAAAATACTATTATGCAGTTGCCCGTAAAACAATGTAAATCTATTTTGCTCCCCACATTTTTAGGTGGATTTATTTGTATTAACAACTCTCAACAGGATGTTGTCAATCTTTAATAATGCAGAAAAGGAACATTGTCACATGACCATATGCCTTAGTGGCACAGAGATAAAAAAGTTATTGTACGTTTTACTCCTATACATTTTTCTGCCGGTTGCTTTATGGAACACAAGATTGCATTTATTCATACTCTTGAATGTTTACATACATTTTTAATTAAGTAAAGGATTTTTATAAGATAAAATACTTATAATAATACTTGTTTATAGTCTACACTCTAAAAACGAATTCAGGCGACCTTTCACCTCCACTTAATTAAATGCATAATGCAAGATAAAAATGTGAGTTAATTGATTTAGATAAACATTTGAAGTTGCAAACATTAATTTATAAGTTGTGTTGACGTAATAATGTTGGTAATTACATTACAACCATCGTGGTCGAGGGAAACAAATGAATGAGCATTCTGCGTTAAATGTGTTCATACTGTTTGAAATAATGACTGTCGGCAGTGTAAACATCTTTGTTACATCTTTTGTAAAATGGATGTGTATGATCTGCAGGTTGGTGGCCATTGAGAGTTTGTTTCTGTAGTTTTACAAAAACTTTACAGATTTGACATATTTGGCACTGGTTTTAAATATGCAAAGGCCTCTAACTTCGTTGTGATGGCAGCATTTATTTGCTGTGTCCCCATGTCCCATTGTAATATGGCTAATGTGTTTATTTATTATTTGTGGGGCAATTTAAATTTGTGTTATTTATCTTTTTTTTCAAGATTTAAATGAAGCTCAGCGCAAGTTCTTTCAGGAAGACTGGGTGTTCACAATGATGGTAATTAAGTACATACAACTTCAAATTCCTTTTTTTTTGAGTAATCAACTTAAAAACTTGTATCTCGAATGAGGGTAATTAAGTACGTACAACTTAAAATTCCTTTTAAATCATGTGGTAAAACTAGTCGGAACAACTTAATCTTTTGAGTAATCAACTTCAAAACTTGTGTTTATGCTACCAATTATTAAGTAAGTGGTAATTAAAAACACCTCTGATTGTAGAGGAAAAGCCTTCTCCCCTAACTCAAATAACTTTGTTGCTTCAAGAAAATGTCATTAGAAGTTGTCTTAACTCAATAAACATCGATACAAACTGTTGCGTTAATTTTCTTTGTCGAGCCAAGGCATTTGTTTTTAGAGTGTAGTACAAAAGCTTCTTCAGCTACCTACTATTGGAAGTATCTGCTCTGATCTGCTTGATTCATCTTTGAGATGAACCTTATAAGGGCTCTGCTTGGTTTTTTAACAATTGACTAACGTTTTAATATATTTATAAAAATATAACATAAGTGTAAGAGTAACGTCAGACATAATGTGGTAAAGCAAATGTCTGGCCTGTGTTGTTGGCAGAAAAGTCAGGAGACATAAACGGGTTCACTGAGCTTCCTTTGAACAAGTGACCACCTGTTCCTGCAGGCATCAAATGACAAGTCCAGTTATGTTGAAAGGACATAGAAATACTTTGATGGTCACCTGTTTATGAAGGTGGGACATTTTGTTCTTCATTTTGTATACTTTGTCCAGATTATTTTCTATACTGCACGTATTATAAATGTACTTCTTTGGAAATATAAGAAACACATGGAATATATTTATTGAAGCAGTTTGCCATAAGTGTTAAAAGGTGGAAGACACATTTTAATACTTTGATCCAAGAAATACCATTCACTTGAAATGATAATGCATTCTCCAGTACGCTTAAGCTACTTGAGTCCAGAAGGAAATGCCCCAAGGGGAAAATAAATGACCTTTTATCTCAAGAACTTACATGTTGAGAGTGATTAAATCTGCTGAACCCACAATTCCACTCAATGTGTGCATAATCTTTCCAGTGGAAACAGCAGACATTACACCATACCTCTGAGGCGTGCTGCTCTTATGTTTCCACTGAAGAGTGATCAGCACAGTTGAGACCTGCATACAGTAAAGCGTGGTCAGGGCAGAGTTTAAAGTAATAAACTCAATTAAAATATTGGTTGATATTCCATATGTGCAAACTTACTTGTCAAAAAAAGGTTCAGGCATTGATAAACAGAAAGTCTTAGATAAACCAGGATCTGTAAAGTGCATTAATCTCATATTTGATGTGGAGAAATCCCTAACTGCTCACTATGCCTGTATTTAAACAGTAATAACAGCAATTGAAAAGCTGTTGCTAAATCCTTGTTTGAGTGTCAATGTTGCTCCCATATTTTGGAAGTATAGCATGTGTGATTGCAATTGTATTAGAAATCTGCAGTGCCAACTCCTCAAAAGAGGTGGATATACTGTGAGAGACCAGCGTGGCAGCCCGGGTGAAGCACAACGGTGCCTGTCCTGTGACATTATTCTGCAGAGGGAATTTCAATGTGGTGTCAGACAAAAAAATAAAATGGAAAAAAAAGTCATGTCATGGTTCTAGGGTGTGGCTCTCTGTTTTGATTTGAAGTCTTTTGTGGCATGTTTACAATAAATAATTTCCCCTAAGACTACATGTTGGCTGCAATTTAAGTTGAATAAAACACATTTTACAATATAATTTGAGATTGAGTGCTTCCAACTTTGATCGACCAAACTGGGATTAAATCCAAATTTGGCAAACATCAGCTACTCAAACTGAATCTGACTCAAAGTGATTGAGAAATCTCGCTCAAAGATGGTTTCCTTTAATTGCAGAAAAGGGTTTAATTTACATCTTTGAGACAGACTTCTGCACTAAACTCTGTTATAGTTTTAGTAACCTTTTTCATATATTTAAGAGAGCATGTTCATCAATGGCTTCACCCATTGTTGTGTGTAAACGAGCTGAATGCAGAGCAGAGCAGGTGAAATAAAAAGTGGACTTTCCTTGGTCTATGTTCAGAACAGAAGTTGACTGTCAGAAAGACCATGTCTAAATCAGAGCAGACAGGCAAAACTCTCAAAACATGTAGAAAGCAGGGAGGACAGCAGATGGCTGAAACATAATGACATGATGCTACATTGAACAGTCTGGCAAAGGGCTAGTGTTTGTGGGCAGGTATATACTGAGTGCCTGATTACAGGCACTGTGCAGCTAAGATGTTTATCTCTAAAGTCACTGTCACACCTTTGTGGTACAAAGATATGGGAGTGTATGTTACTCAATATCAAGCCACAATTATTGCTTTTATTTTAAATCGTATAATTTCGGACTTTTGTTGCCGTCTGTGAGGAAAATTAATGAGGATACTGAAATCTGTATTTTTTAAATCTTTTTTTCCTTCTAATTTGTTATTCTTTTCAAAATAACACACTGTTATTTACTCACCAATAACACACAATTATCCTTGCTTTTATGTATTGGTTTAATTCCATAATCTCGGGCTTTTTTGGCGTCCGTCAGGAACTGAATTTCAAAATAAAAATAACCGGAAACAGACGTAGGCATTTCGAGCGATTACCCAAGATCCTCAGCTATGGTTTAAGCTTGCTGATTGGATGTTTTAGCCGCAATGCATGCTGGGATTTGGTGTTTATATTATATGAAATCCGGAAAACATTTTAAAAGAATAAAATAATACTTAATTCCGAGTGTTCTTGCTTTTCTCTTTGAAAGTCATCACATAACGGCATTGTAATACACGGTTCGGCTGCATTACATATTACAGATCTGCCGTAGTTCTTTATTTATAGAGCCCTGATGAGAAGACATTTGGAAAAACTGGAAGAAATGCCGCCGAAACTGAATACTTGACGTGGATCATAAATATATCAACAATTAAACAACATCTTCAATTTCTCTTCACACAATACATCTCCTTGCAGTATCAATACTAATTCGGCTGACTTTTACATTTGATCTAATTCATAGATAGGTTATATTTACACCATAACGGTGCACAGCTGATAGAAAAGGACTTGTAGTTTTTAAAGATATTACTGATTTTCTTTGAATGTAAGAACTGAGTCTGAAATAGTATAGCAATATGCTGTAAAATTATGTGAAAGCATGAATAAAACTACAAATCTTCAGATGTTGTACATACATAAGTGTCCTACACTAATAATACAAAGTTATTATGGCTGTGTGTACCTTGTGTGCACCGCCTAGTGGTTAAAGCACATTATTGAATTATTGTTTTTATGTGTTATATTTGATTAAAAAAATATTAAGAGTGTTAGGGAATAATTTGCCTAGGTATTCAACCTTTGACACAGTTCATAATTTTCTCCTCTCACTGTCTCCTTTTCCATGGCATATGTCTACGGCCTTGGGTATTGCTACTATCTCTCTTAAGGAGGGGCAGCTTGGGCGCATTGTTGTTGCCAGTCTATGACAGAGCACAAGCCGCCATGAGGTAATTTACTGTTCATGGACGAAGGTTCCCTGGTGCGCATTATTTTCTATGGACGAGAGCTCTAGTTAGATTCAGGGTCCATATTTGTTTAGTCTCAATGATGAAGAATGTTGATTATTACACTCCGAACTAGATAAAACCTCGAGCTACAGAAAGAGTTCTTCAGAATTGGTTTGG